AAAAAAAAAAAAAAAAAATGGAGACTCATAATTTTGACCCCCATCAGCCAGTGAATGTCCATAGTGTGGATGCTGAGCTCCAGGTCACAGGCAAGAGGCTATAGGGGAATGAACTTTCTAATTCCCCTGGCTCCAGAAAGGAGTCAAAAGGAATGTTAGAAGACTTTTTGGCTTTTTCTTTTTTTTTTTGGTAGAGACCGGGTCTTATTCTACTGCCCTCAGTAGAGTGCCATGGCATCACACAGTTCACAGCAACCTCCAGTTCCTGGGCCTAGGCGATTCCCTTGCCTCAGTCTCCCAAGTAGCTGGGACTATAGAAACCCATCACAACGCCCGGCTATTTTTTTGTTGCAGTTCAGCTGGGGCTCGGTTTGAACCCACCACCCTCAGCATATGGGGCCAGCGCCCTACCCACTGAGCCATAGGCACCGCCCTGTTAGAAGACCTGAAACTGTTCTGTATTTACTCCTTTTCTCTGGTTGAGAGCAGAGCAAAGAGGTAGAACACAGAGGCCCTGGGTTCCCCAGCAATAGTTCTGACCCAGGACATGAGAAGACCTTCAGAAAATCATGCTCTCCCAGCTCTTACTATCTTCTCTTCTCTCCCATGGTCCCAAATTTTTCCTGTTTCTCTCTATAGACCTCTTCTGTCTCTCTCCCTCTCCTTGTAGTTTGCATGCTTTGTTGGATGTTGGTAAAGGACTGCTTTATATACCAGTTAAGTTTGTGCGGTTTCATTCTGGTATTTTCAGATGTTGTAGGTATGTTTTAAGGTCTTTTTTATTGCAAAATTAAATTCAATTGGCATTTTCATGCTTCTGCAGAAAAAGAGGCTAAACCATGTTAACTACAAGTCAGCTCCAAACAAAGGGCATAAACAGTCCCCTACACAGCTTCTCTAGGCAACTAGGGGCCTGTGAAGGGAAGCCCTGCGCAACTCCACAAGGCAAGAATGGTCCTAAACCTTTGGCTACAGTTCAGTCTCTTAAAAATGAAGAAAGGCAATGAAAATGACCCTCGGCATTTGATTTCTTCCGGCTTATTGGTGTAAATAGGAAAGTTTAAAATAGTTCCACGTTTAAGACTTTAATTCTAACTAATTGTAATGCAAAAGTTTCAAAGTGTCTCTCAATTTTGATTTGTCACTAAGTTTAATTATTGTTGCCTGGCTAGCTTTTGGGAATGAAAGGAAGGTTTGAAAACATAGCATGTAAGACCTGCTATTTTCCTTTGTTACTGGGAATTTAGAAGAAGCTTATAGAGGTTATATAGAGTTAAATGGGCTAGGACCACACAGCCATTTTCTCTAGGGCAGGGCTCATCCCCACTTTGATTGATACTCTGGAGGGCAAGGGGCAAAAAGGGGCATAACTTCCATCAGGTGGGACCAGGCTCCCTGATACCTGATTTCTTAGGCTATGGTGCCAGCAAGTTAAAAGCACAGGAGAGCCAGCGGGTACTAAGGGCTACACTGGTAAGAGAGGCTAATTCCAGACAAGCACAGGGGCTGAGAAGGCCACTCTCCTCAGGGATTCTTTCCCAAGCATTGGAAGGACACTTCCTTTTATTTGGCAGGAAGGCTTCTTGGGTTGGTCAGAAGACACTTTGACTACCCAGGAATTCGGGGTGGGATTAAGACATTGGGTGCCTGTTCTTTCCCACAGATGGGTAAGAACAGATTCTCTCACCAACAGAACACCCTGCTGAGCCATATTCTGAAGCACTGGAATACGTTTGATCCCCAGAAGCTGAAAAATCAATGTATGGTTTTCTTCTGCACCCAGGCTTGGCCTCAGTATCAACTCTCCCCTGGTGAACAATGGCCTTTCAAAAGAGGCCATCAACAATGGCAAAATCAAAAAGAGTCCAGAGGGCACTCTTAATTATGACACCATTTTTCAGTTAGATACTTTTTGTAAACAAGAAGAAAAGTGGTCTGAAGTGCCATATGTGCAAGCTTTCTTTTTCCTCAGGGACAACTCCCAACTGTGTAAAACCTGTCAGATTCTAGAGAGACGCTGTCACTGAGAGAGGATACTGGAGAGGAGCGAGGTCCGGGAGAACAGGTCTTCTCAGGGAGACCACGAGGATGCACCTGCAGGGCCCTCTCCATGGTGACTCAGCTCTTGGGAATTTATAGGCTTAACTTCCTGGAACCTGGAAATTTCCAAGTTCTGTGAAATCCTGTAGTTCTGTGGGGGCTGGAGTAGCATCTCCCACTTGATTCAAACTGGCCAATGGGAAGGGTGCCTGTAGGGTGGAACTTTTTGACTGTCAATAAAAAGGGAAAGACCAAGCCAGTCAGGGACCACGGCCATTTAGAAATCTATGCCGTAAGCTCCTGGCCGATGAATAAAGCCCTGCCTCTTATAACTATGGTGTTTGGGTGCTCTTTCTCTCCGTGGGGCCTCGTCTTCCTGCAACATCACAACCTAGCTCAAACCCACCATCTACTTCTCCTGCACCTTCCTCTGTGCATTCAGAAAACCCCAGGAGGGAGGCTGTGTCAATAATTTTGGGGGAGTCCTACCGGGACACCCCACCCACCCCCCCACCCCCACCAAGGCAACCATATCCTTCTTTGTGTCCTTTGGTTGAGACTGCGGGTGGTGAAAGGGAAGTGTGTGGAGTGTGTGTGAGTATACACTCCATTTTCTCTGGCAGATTTAAAGCAAATTAAGTTTGACTTAGGAAAATTTTCTGACGATCCCGATAAGGGTTAGGACAAAGCTTTGACCTCTCTTAGATGTAATGCTACTACTAGATCAAACATTAACTTTCAATGAAAAAAATGAAGTCTTAGATAAAGCCAGAAAGTGAAGTGATTTGTGGTTCATGTCTAATACTGATGGCAGTATGTCTCCTGAGGAAAGAGACAGAGTCCCCACAGGAAGACAGGCAGTTCTCTTTGAGGATCCCGAATTAGATCCTGAGAAACAAGGTGACTGGTGGTGTAAACATTTTCTAACATGTATCCTGGAAAGTTTACACTGATCCAAGAAAAAGCCTATGAATTATTCCAAGTTGTCTACTTATTTGCCAAGAGCAAAATGAGAGTCCCTCAGCCTTTCTTGAGCAACTTACGGAGGTGATGAGAAAAAATACTCAAGTAACATTAACCCAACTCCTTAAAGGGCCAAATTATTTTAAGAGACAAATTTATCACTTAGTCAGCCCCAGACATTCAAAGAAAACTCCAGAAATTGGCTCTAGTCCCAGATCATAACCTGGAGAATCTTCTTAAAATGGCCAGTGTGGTCTTTTATAACCGAGATCAGGAGAAAGAGGAGGAAAAAAGAGAAGGGATAAGAAAAAAATGACAGCTCTAGTAATGGCACTCCGACA